GAGGTGAGGAGATCAGGTAAAATGGCATTACAATACTGACTAAAGCACAGAATAATGGAGGCTGTAAAGAAGGCTGCTTGTTGCTGAAGAAAATTTCCCTAACAATTGTGCTGGAAGATCTGGGCCTTGAAGGAGAAATAAATATTTTTCATGAACAGAGAGCCTTAGAAATGAGCCATGTATTGAGAAGAGTCTGGAGGAAGATAAGAAATGGAAGATTAAGATGTAAAATAAATAAGACAAACTCCTAGCAATTAATGAAGTATGTCATTTTAATTACTTATAATTAACTGATTAGACCAAAATTATCACTTCAAGTCAGTAGTTCTAAAAACTGGAAACTTTTAACCCCCTTTTTATTCTTTTGGTAAGATTCATGATTCCTCAGTCCAAAGAATAGAGTAAGGGAAGCTCATAAAGTTCTTTACTGGTGATGAAATATTTCTAAAGAGAGTCAATAGGCCCTGGTTAATCAAAGAATGAAGAATAATAAATGAAATACTTTTCACAAGTCAAGTCAGCAGGGACAACCAGGGGCATTGGCATTTCCCCCCCTCTGTGACCCAAAAGATGTATTCATAATCAAATCTTGATTTGGAAACCCATAAAAATGTTCAAAGCTGAAAAGGAGATCACAGAAAAATGCTATTCTTACCTATAGAAATAAAGGCAGAATATGAATTAAAACAATAGTTCCTAGATTCATCTGAGGACACAGTTTATATTCAATTATAGGAGACAAATTTTTTTATGTCTTCACTTTCTGTAAAGTCCTTATTCGATTTGATAACCTTTTCCTAAATGCCTTTTATAGTACTTTATTTGAAGTAGTGAAGGATAAATATAAGGTAAAGCTTTTGACCTTAAAGCTTCTAAGAAAATATTTCTTTACATTCTTAATAGCTCCTACTTAATCTTTAATATCTTCATCAAAGCCAAAACCTTGTCAGGTCCCAAAGTACCTTCCCATATTGTTCATAATCTGGTACTTCCTCTTCACCCTTGAAGCTGCTATTGTCCCTCTCTGTTCCCCAGAGTATGTATATCCAACAGCCAAGATGCACTCCAACTTAAAAAACTGACTCATTTGTTTCTGTGAAAGTCAGAGGAAGAGCTGAGTTTTGAAGACTTGACAGTAATGAGTCTATTGGTTAAAGTTTGAACAAAGCAGAAAGAAGGCAGTAGGCAAGGAGACAGGAACCCAATGAGGCAGTCTTAGGAGAAGCCTGGAGAGGCCATCCTTGAGTTCTAGGTCCTCGGAAACAACAATCTCCTTCCTGTGACATTCCTTTCTTTCGCTGATGAGTGAACCAGAAACTGCTAGAGATACTTCCTCTAATACATAATCCTGAAATGTGAATGAAGTAAAGAGTCTCAAAACACCCTCTTACCTTTGTTAAAGCAGATTTGACTAAAAGTATCATACATCTCATTTGAGTGTGCCTTTTGTCTTTGTTTTCTTGCATTTTAACATTTATAATGACAAAGGTCTTTGTTTTACAGAATTATTATCTCAGATTTAGACTGTTCTTCAGAGTTTACAACTGAAAATATCTCCAGAAATATAACATTTTGAAATTATAGACAAATTAAATCTACTCTGCGCATCAATCGGAAGCAGGAGTGGCATCCACTTCCTAAATACCATGTCTCCAGAAGCTCTATGAACTTTGATAAATGTTGATGGTTGTAGAGGGGCTTCAGCCTTTTGTTTATAGGGTCTCTATGAGTTGTGCTCAACCCAAAGGCAATCAACAACAACTACACATCAAAGGAAACCCTGGTGGCCTAGTGGTAAGACACTGCTCTACCAACCTAAAGGCATGCAATTCAAATTCACCCACTGCTCAGTAGGAAAGAGATGGGCAATCTCCTCCCATATGATTTGTAGCCTCTTAAAATCTGCTGGAGGGTCAGCTGTGAGTCAGTTTTGACTTGACAATACAGCATACAACAGTGGCACATCAGTATTCACTGGATGATTAAGGGTTGTACACAACTACTCACAGAGCTATGATTTAGGATTACATTTTTAGTCTCTTTTTTCACACAAGAATTTCAATTTTCAAAATGTATTCATCTCCAAGACAGAGCACAAGAAGATTATTCATGAACATTGTTACAATTTATATAATAATTGATATTTTTCCATGTCATGGCTAAGAAGATTCAGTTATTCTTAGTTCTCTTCCAATGAGATTAGATTTTTCTCTTCAGAGACATAAAGCTATCAAAGGTCTGGTCATGACATCATGCATTCATAATCATACTTTTAAAGACACAGTTCTATGGTTGAGTTTCTCATCTTTGCACCTTGTTTACTGTGGTTAATGGGCCAGTAAGACTTTAAACCCATGGCCAATAGTCAGATTGCATTGCTGGGTAATTGCAAACCTATTATAGTAATGTCAGTGAGGAAAATGTGGTGTCGTATCAGATGGTGACTTTCATCATTCATGAATGCACAGCAGAATCAGTCTCACTGACAGTCACAGCTATCAATTCCAGAACGTGGGCACTATTTCTCAAGTTAGGACCATGAAACTAGTTAGGACCATGATAAGATGAGTGCATGATACCAAACACATATGATTAAAAGAGTAAATTCTACCAGGAAATCATAAATGGATGCATGGGTTGGACTTTTTAAATAACTATCACGTATGCATAATTTGTACATGAACTACCTGTAAATAGTGTACAGATTCTAGAACAGAAATCACATGATTCCTTTTTCAGAATAGCTCCCAGAACCAGTGATGTTTAACCATTTCTTCATTGTCTAGTACTTTATAGTCTCTACCAGTGATTTAAATGACGTTTTTAAAAAAAATTTTTAATTTAAAATTTTATGCCAGAAGCTCTTCTCAATTTCTCCTAAACTCAGGCCATGGCATCTACAAAAGTTCAGATATATCTTCTCTCCAAAACCTGTGAGGCTCATACTCACTCTGTTCATCTGTCAATGTTAGTAGAATGTGCTGTATCCAAGAATTTCAGAATCCAGGAAGTGAAATGAACTAGAGTTGGAGTATCACTTTGTAAGTTAACCTACTGCATTCCAATGGGTTCTAACTCCTAGGCCTTCCACCAGATCTCCAAGCTGTAAATCTATATGCTGAAGAGATCAACCTTATTTCTTCTGCAGAGCAGCTTGTGGATTTGAATCCCTAACATTTCTATTGGCAGCGCTATGTTACAAACTACACCACCAGGGTTTAAAGGAGCATGGTTTTAAAACAATTGCTAAGAACAAACAACCTTGTATCATTTGATTTCTAGAGATATCTGTGAGTCCATAAATACAGAAACGTGGTTGGTGCTAAAGCTTACAATAATTGAGGAAATGTTTATTGCTATAATATGAGCACTAAAACAGAAAAGGACATTTTAAAAAGCCTATCCCATGATAATATCCACAAATTAAAATGTATGAAAATCGAACTGCCAACTTGATGTCAAAATCATAAATGTTAGTGGAGAGCTGATACTTAGCCTTGTTTATATAATAGCATGGGCATGTCAAAATGCCAACTGCTCCTTGGGGTTCCAGGCCCCAAATGACTACTAAATGCTTCCATATTCTGCTTTCAGAAATAATAGAATTGCATTTCTTTTCCTTCTCATATTAACAACTATTTAGGTGCCATCTTCTGTATGCTCTAAGCTATAATGTCACCAACACTGTGCCAAAGAAGCAATGAAGTAAAAGCAAGCAGAGTCACATACAAATAATTTTACTCACAGTACTTCATTTGTTTCTGTATAGCTCTCAAAAACACAGCACTGCAGAGAAGTATTTAAAAATCCAGACATTTTGGCACATCTTTTTTTTTCTTATAAAGCACAAATAAAAAGATCCCTAACCTTCTATGCCCATTTTAGGAAAAACTAATGAGAACTCCATACCAAACTCTGACATTTAACTGCAGGATGCACAAGTTGTGCATCATGAATGTATTTGTTTTCTTTAACCATAGAAAGAGAAGTTGAGCCCATGTAAATTCAGAGAGGTGCAGAGTAACAGAGGAAATGCTTGGTTGCTGCTGGGTATCTAGGGAACCAAGCTGAAAGATGTCTGAAATTAGAGACAAAGCTACTGGGAAAGTAAAATGGAAATGATAGGAATCTTTTTTCACATACTGATTTTCACAAATGGATCTCTTGGACAACAGCACACTTAATGGTGTCTATCTCCTATTATAATATTCTATTCATTTAAAAGTAGAGTCAGCAAAAGAAAGAAGAGCCCTCAGTGAGATGAGGTGGCCCGTTCAGTGACTGCTTCAATGAGCTTGAGCATGGCAGAGATCAAGCATGGCATAGGGTAGGGCAAGACCTCACTCTCTTGTTCATAAGATCTCTATGCGTCAAGGGCAACTAAGCAGCACCTAAAAACAAGATAATACTTGCTGTTCACTACCAAAGTATTCCAAGAAAATAGAAGGCTGTGTACCTGACTTGAGCTCTTGAAGAGGGGGAGAAAGGACAGCACTTATTGATATAGATTGATCTCTATGCATGTAGCTCAAAGACCATGAGGGGCAGTGCTAACCAGAACACTTGAGTACCAAGTCAGAAGTTACTGTCCCAGGCTTAGTGAGAACTGTTTGTCCAAGCAGGGTGTACGATTGGCGCATCGCAATTATGACTTAATAGTTGTTATTTTCTACATATTGAAATTAGAGACCAATTCTAAAACAATTCTAGAAAGGAGAGGGAGGCTTGAGCTTTGAAATTGAAGTTGGCTGCATTAAAACTATCTTGATAGCGCTAAAAGGCTCATTCCCCACCCTTTAGGTTTGTTTTGTTTTGTTGTGGTTTTTTGTTTTTGTTTTTGTTTTTTCATTTCTTGTCCCATCCCAGTATTTATTTACTTAATTATCCCGTCCCCTTTTGGTAGGCTTGCTTTTCTCATTTTGTTGCAAGGCTGCATTTTGATTCATCTGATTCTGCCATGTAACAAAAGCCCTCTGACACCTGTGTTCATTTGTTCTCAGCTGGTGAATGAGCAACAGGAAAGCAGACCCCTCCTGAGTCCCTCCATCGATGACTTTCTCTGTGAAACCAAATCGGAGGCAATAGCAAGGCCAATAACGTCCAATACAGCCGGTAATTCTTTTGCTTTTAACTACTCTGAAAGTCGAATTAATTCTAACTATATTCAAATTTCTATTTTCTTCCCACTTTGAATTGTCCATGGAAAATTATGTTTACAAACAAATGAAACTTTGAACATGCTAGACAGCGTGAACAATAAACTTTCACTATGTAAGAAACTGCAATGTATATGGCCGAGCCAATTTTGCTGAATGCAGTATACCACTATTAGCAGTGCATCATCTTTCTATGCATATTTTCATAGTTACTTCTTCACTGCTCAAATCTCTATTATAAATGTAACTGTTTCAGAGTTGGGTGTTTGTGTTGTTTTTTTTTTCAAATGTTCTTGCTAATCTTAATTGTTCCTGGAAACATTGTGTCACAGAAGTCCCATAAAATGATAATATGAACAGTCAAGTAGACCCAAATGGCTATTGGAATAACCTAGATCTTTGGGTGGTGTTAGCTTTCATCAGGTCATCCCTAACTCCTGGAGACTTTAAGCATGAAGAGGTATAAGAATTGTGATCCATAAGGTTTTCATTGACTGATTTTTTTTAAGTTATCACCAGGTCTTTTTTCCTAGTTCCTCTTCATCTAGAAGTGTCACTGAAACCTTATCATCATAGCAGCATTCAAGCCTCCACTCATAAACTGCATTCAGGGTCCATTGGTCAAGTATCACACTCTCTCTTCCATGTGGATGACTACGGGTCTACCACTGAACCACACATTAGCCCTCACTCCCCCATCCTACCCATGGACCCTTGTGGTAATAAGCTAGTTTCATTTAAAGTATATGTTATTTGAATAATGAATGTGAACATTCCTCTGGAATTTAGCATGCATGAACAGTAAGTCGTGATCTGGCACAGTGCCTAGCATGTGTGGGCACCCAATAAACTCCTTCCAGTGACTGACTACAGGCTGCCACAGGCAGGAATTATACCTTATCAGAGGCCGTATTTCTGCATTTATTTCAGTCAGTCAGTGTTCATATTCTATATCAAAGGCAACTTACTCAAATAAGGATGAAAAATGATGTTCGAATCAAAGGACAAGTGTTACATTGGATACGCAGCAGAGTTTAATAGGGGAAAAAAAGCACTCACATACTGCCTCATTAAATGTGCCTCACTTCACCACTGTGGCCCCCAGCTTGCTATTTGCTTGGTTTTCATTATACTCCTAGTAAAGAAAATTACAAGAGAAAAAAGTTGTGATTTTTTCCACAATTACAAAAGCAACTGACACAAGATAAATGTACTGCTGTCGAGTTGATTCCAACTTCTAGCAACCCCATAAAACAGAGTAGAATTGCCCTGAGAATTTCCAAAACTCCATCTTTTCCCTATTAAGTAAGTATTTTAACTACTCTGCACCAGGGAGACACTTTATTTGGGATTTGAGTCTCCAGGTTCTGATTTCAAACCTCATGAGTTCATATGATAACTCTGCCACTTAGCAGCTCTGTGTCCTTGAATGACTTCCTTACCTGAGCCTCAGTTTCCTTATATGTCTTATGATAGGAAGACCGGTACCTCTACAGGAATCTCTGGGTGATGCAAGTGGTTAGGCACCGACCATACTACTAACTGAAAGATTGATAGTTTGAACCCATTCAGAGGTGCTTTCAAAGATATGCCTATAAATCTGCTCTGAAGTTCACAGCTATGAAAATTTCATCAAGTAGTTCTACTCTGCACACTTACCTACACATAACACATATAAGTTGCCAAGTGTTGCCATTAACTAACAAAGATATATCTCATTGGCTAATTGGCAAGATTAAATTAAATACAGGCGTACTTCAGAGAGATTGGAGGTTTGATTCCAGACCACTGAGATAAAGTAGATATCTCAATAAAGCAGGTCACATAAATATTTTGATTCTTGGAAAGATGGGTCCCCATAATATTCAGTGCCCCCATTTGGAGAGTCAGCTATGAGTCAGTCCCAACTCGATCATATACTAAATTTATGTTTATGGTACACCATAGTCTATTAAGTACCTAGTCTCATTGCTGTCCAGTCAGAAACAACTCATAGCTGGCCCTCCAGCAACACTGTAAATTGTAGAGGAGGAGATTACCCATCTTTCTCCTGAGGAGCCACTGAAAGACACTGCTTTCTAGTTGGCATAGCAACACCCTACAGGCTGTGCTAGCTGGCTCTAATTGTGCAGTAATGTACAGGGGGTGGGGGGGGCAAGTGTACAGCAGCACTTTAAAAAGTTTAAAATATTGGAAGAATTACCAAAATGTAACACAGAGACAAGAAGTAAGTACATCTGTTGGGGAAATGGTGTGCCTGTAGATGGTATGCAATACAGAGTTGCTACAAATTTTCCATTTGTAAAGCATGAAACACAGTGAAACAAAGTATGCATGTATTTTCCATAAATACTTAATATAGTGTAAGCTTTGGTTGGTATTGCCAATACTGTTAAATATCAAATGAAAAACAATTTTCTTTCAAATTCATTAACTTTTTTGTATTACTACCATGCAACCATTTTCAAAATGCCATTATTTTAGTAACAAAGTAAGATAAAATTGTGTCTTGAAAATTTTAAAGAGCAACAAAAAAATTAAGCAATTTGAGATACTATCAGGTCAGACTCATCCTTCTGATCTATGACACTGGAGCTCACCCCTTGGAAAAACCAAAGAGTTAGCCCCAGGATAAAAAAAAAAGAAAGAGAGAGAGAGAGAGAAGCCTTGTTTCTCTAAATGCAGGCAAATTGAAATACCAGTCAATCAAGGAGAACTGGATGCACTGAGATGCTTTGCTCCCACTGTTCTAGAATGCCTCAGATCCTCATACAGTGCCTTATATCACAGTCATTGTTGATGCCAAAACTAAGTCACTTAGGAAGGACCATCCTGAGGAAGATTTGACTCAAAAGCTACTTTTTGTCTTAATTCTTCCAACATCTGAAAGAGCCAGCTGTTAAATGTTGATATGGGGAGGGGGGAATCAAAAGAGTAGGTCATTGTTACAGATTGTCCACCACAGTAGGGGCTTGCTTAAATGATGTTCTTCAACTGTGCATTCTTTTCTCATCCATGACATTCATTGCATAGGGTCTTTTGGGGTTTTGTTTTCAGTACTGAAGAAAAACTTTTGCTTAGTAATGCATTATTTACCTTTAAAAACACATCTGAAGGCAAATATTAGCCTTTTTTAAAAAACCTTTAAAGAATACAGTTCTTAAGAAATATCTCTTCCAAGAGTCAGTCAAATGACAGGGTTTATTTTTCCTGTAACTTTAAAGAACATACTTACATTTTTCATCCTAGAATTCAGTTCTACCTGATTTGATTCTGTAACCATGTTATAGAACAGAACTTCTCCACAAGGGTTTCTTGTCTATAATTGTTGCATAAGCCGAACAAATACTTTTACTCTGGTGACCATCCTTTCGCTTAGTTGTTGAGTATAAATCACTCATACCACCTAGAAATATCTCAGAATGTGGGTAATGGGCTTAATTACATATTCCAGGGAAAAGGGGGAAAGGCTGTTTAAATTATTTAAGTCTGATTTGTTTGCCATCTCTGAAAACATTGTGCCTGAAGGACGTTGCTTTGCAATCACTGAGTGAGAGAATATCAGCTGTGTTCTGGAATGCCCAGTGGCTCTCAGAACAGAACAGAGCCCAAACAGCATCTTGAACCATCTTCTTTGACTGAGCCAGTTAAAGCCACTCCTTGTTCTGTCATCCCTGATATTCCATGTAGAAAGTCACTGGAAAGTCCGAGGCTCACTACATTGTAATGCTTTCGATAGCATTCTACGTAACAAAACAACAAGAGAGGGCTTCAGGATACCTATTGCCATCAAATTGATCCTGCCTCACAGGATCATGCAGAACAGGTTAGAACTGCCCTCCAGGGCTTCCAAGGCTGTCACCTTTACAGAACCTCCACCACATCTTTCTCCCATCGAGATGACAGTGGGTTCAAACCACTGGCCTTTCAGTAGCAGATGAGCACTTAAGCACTACACTGCCGGACTCTGAGCTTAATAATAGGTGCTCATTTTGTATGTTATGTTATGTTATGTTATGTTATGTTATGTTATGTTATGTTATGTTATGTTATGTTATGTTATGTTATGTTATACATCCTCCCCTCCTAGGTCCAACTTACCCAGTATCCACATACTTGACTTCTGGGAGCCTTCTAGTTCAATGTTATCTCCCACCAGATATTCTTGAGATAAACAGAAGCAAGTACTTAAAGTACTCCCTTCCATCCTTAGGGAATTCCACCCAATGGAATTAAGTCATAAAAAAAGTTTTTGAAATAGTCATTTAAATCATGTCTTGTTGTTGTTGTTGTTGGGTGCCATTAAGTCATAGACTACTCTTCAGAAATGGATGCCACTCCTGCTTCCAGGCTTAAGTAATGTCTTACACTACCCAAATTGAAAATAAATACATACATACATAAAAATTTTGTTAAACAAAGATAGTTGTTGTTATTTTTATGTGCCATTGAGTAAAAAATGACTCACAGCAAACCTTCTAGTGAATTTTCAGGGGCTGTACATTGCACGGAGGGATATGTCCCATCTTTCTCCTGTGGAGCTATTAATGGATTTGAACTACTTACCTTTGGGTTGGCTGTACAACTTTACCACTAAGCCACCAGAGTCAAATACACATTATGAGCTGCAGAGGGCTGGTATACTCATCAGGTTCAGGTACAGTTCAGAGAAAATTGGGGAATGGCATTGGTTTTGGAGAGACAGGCCCACGTTTGAGTCCCATAGACACAATTTTATTAATTTCCTATTGCAACTATAGCAAATAATCACAAACTTAGTGCCTTAAAACAACACACTTTATTACCTTGCCATTCCAAAGGTGAGAAGTGTAAGCAGGGTTACATCCCTTCTAGAGGCTCTTCTTTATTATTCCCCCTGCCTTTTTGGCTTCCTGAGGATTCCTGCATTTCTTCATCTGTGATGTAGTCCTCTTGTTGTTACTGTCAGCAGTTCAG